GGGAGGAGGCAGGGGGAAGAAGGGATGAGGTGGGGAGGATGGGAGGAGGCAGGGGGAAGAAGGGATGAGGTGGGGAGGATGGAAGGAGGCAGGGGAAAGAAGGGATGGGGCAGGGGGAGGATGGAAGGAGGCAGGGGGAAGAAGGGACAAGGTGTCGGAAGACAGGAGGAGGCAGAGGGAAGAAGTGGTGAGGTCCGGGAGGACGGGAGGGGAATACTAAATGGGTGGGGTGCCCTGCTGTTCAACTGTTTCTCTCCCCTTCTCCCTGGATTCTGCCACATGACTACCTGTGGGCTCAGCCTAGGAATTGGAGCCCTACCAGGGGATGCAAGTTTTAGATGGGGTAAAGAGCCTTTTTCTATACTTTTCTCTCATCACCGGTGACAGGGAGGAGCCAGGGCCTGGTCATGAGTAGGTGGGTTTCAGGCAACTGGATAGGGATGCAGAGGTAGGAGAGTTATGGGCAAGTTAGGCTAGAGCATACTTTACCAATCGGTTGACTTCATGTGCAATTCACAGTTCTCACCCTGGGGACCGAGAGATGAAAGTCTTGTTAGGAGGACTAAGTCAGAGCCAAGTGATCCCTTCCGAAGAACTGGAGTCTCACCACACTGCCCACCTCTCCGATTTCACACTGTGCACACACATGCTCGCACACATGCAACTGCACACATTCACATGTGCACACACATGCCCACACATGTTCACATGTGCACACGCATGCTCACAGTCCACATGTGCACAATCATGCTCACACATCCACTCATGCCCACACATGTTCACATGTGCACACGCATACTCACATATCCACACGTGCATACTCATGTTCACACATGTTCATATGAGCACATTTATGCACATATGGTTGCACAAGCATGCACACATGATGCATACATATGTGCACACGCTTCTCTTTTCTGTGTATTATCCATCCCACCATCTTTAACTCAGCCACCACACACTCTCTCTGGCTCCACACTGCTGCTCAGTCTCTTGTCCCACACTAGACTACTCTCTCTTGCCTGAGAAAGACCCTCAAGAGCTACCACCTCCACATGCCCCTCAGGGTCTCCCCATCTTCCTTCCCCACAAGCTGCTGAGGAGAGTCCCTTCCAAGACCCGAGCCCTCACCACTGGCTGGGTCACTGCCTGGTCTTTGGGAAGGCAATCCAGGGGCTGGCAGAAGGAGCCATTCTTCTTGTACATGCTGCAGCAGCAAAGCTGGAAGGACAGGTGTGTTGTGAGAGGAGTGGGGGCTCATCTGGCAACCCTGCCTGCTACGGTCCCCCAAGCCCCCACAGCCACACTTCATACCCCACAGCTCCAATGGCTCTTGGGCACCTCCACATGCAACTGCGGCTGGAAGAACTTGGGGTAGTGGAAGCAGGCAGGGTTTGGGCAGCAGGGATCCAGGTGGGGCGAGATGCGCTGGGTGTGTTCAAAGGATTCGTTCACTGTCACCAAAAGGTCCTTCTCTGGAAGAGAGGACAGGAGGGCTGAGGCCCCAAGGACTGGACATTGGGTAGCCTCTCTTCCCACGTCCAACTTGACCCAGCAGAAAGCCTAGTGGAGGTGGCTAGGACAGGGGCGCAGGCTAAACTGCAGATGACCACATCCCATCCCTACAGGTTCTTATTCTGTAGGTCAGGACCAGGCCCAGGAGTCTGCATTTTAACAAGGGCTGTGTGTGAAGCTGACAAATGTGGTTTCCAGAAAACCCTCTAAGACACCGAGGAGTCCTCTGGACTAGATTCCTTGGAACCAAGAGATACCCCAAAGTTACCCCTATCCATTGTAGAGAAAGCAGACTCTCCTCATACCAGCAGCTTGGGGTAGAGGTCTCTCTTCCCCCCTCCCCCCGACCCCATGTCTGCAGAGAGTGCTAACTCTCCTCCAGGGACAAGGCTGGAAACCTTACAGGGAGGCTCTGAGGAAAGGACAGAGCAAGAGTACTGTTAGTGTCCATCCACCACAGCTACTGGCCATTGCACTAGAGCCCAGGAAACCCAGAGGTACGGCACAGACTGCGAGGCAGAGAGGGCTGTGCCTCGCTGGACCATTGACCCAGGCCAGGGTACTTGACAGGAGCATGGAGGGACATCTTCTGTATAAAGCAGGTGGGGAGGACAGGAATTCAAGACCTCTGAGAGTAAGGAGGTGCTGGGTCCCAAACTTTGGAAGCCCTGGGCCAGCCGACTATGTTAGCAGGGTTTGAAGTAGCTTTTCCCTCCTCCCCCAGCAGGCAAAGGCTCACTTTTCCCACTCTTCCTCTGATGTCTGGCTTCTGCGTGAACCTCCAAGCAGGAGACTTGCCGGGACTGTAACAAAGAAAAGGAGAAGCACTGAGCCTCTGAGCACAAACCAGACCAAAGTGAAGCAATGAAGTACAAGAGGATGAATACAGCGACGGTCTGACTTTGCTTTGAACTCTAGGGCACTGTAGGGGTGCTGACCACATATTCTGAACCCATAGGCATACCATCTCACTCAGAGATAGACTATTTGAAAATGAAGCTCCTTTAGAATTTAGGATGTACAGTCACCATTGCTAACTATTTGCTGGGGAGCCAACTCTGATTCATGGTGATCACAATGTGCGTTAGTGTAGAACTGTGTTCCACAGAGTTTTCAATGGCTGATTTTCTCAGTAGCTCACCAGGTCTTTCCTCTGAGGTGCCTCTGGGTGACTTTGAACCTTCAACTTTTCAGTTAACAGGGGAATGCATGTGACCTTTTCACTACCCAAGGATTCTGATCATTTGCTTGTTGTTATTGTTGAGTGCTGATAAATTGGTTCTGGCCCATAGCGACCCTGCATAGGGTTACCAAGGAGTGACTGGTGGGTTTGAACCACCAACCTTGTGGCTAGAAGTCCAGTGCTTATCCTACAGCACCACACCAGGAGTCTGACCATTTGCTAGGGGTCGTGTTTTCAGCTGTATCTCAGGGATTTACACTTATGTCACAGTTGTTTGGTCTAAAGCAAAAAGAGGGAATGTTCAGCTCTGGGATTTGAAAGTGGGAGCTTCCAATGAAATAGCTTCTAAAGAAGCAGAGGCAGGTCATTGTCCATCACCACAAACTCCCAAAGACTCCGATTTGGGGAAGAAGGATCTCCTTAGACCCTGGGGCACTGGATAAATTTAATTGGAATAGCTGTACCCACCGCTGAATTACAAAAATCTTTTCATTGAAGTAGATTGAGGTTGTTGGGGGCTGGACTAAGTGTGGGAGGAAGACCCCTCTGTGGTTAAGTGCCGTCAGGTCATTTCCACCTCAGAGCAACACTGTATATGGTTTCTGAGGAGCAGCTAGCGATTAGCTGTCTAGTGCTTATCCTACAGAACCACACACTTGGAGTCCAGGTTCCTTCTAGTGGGCACTTTTGATGGGAGCTTCCCATGAAGAGGAGGCATCTTTATGAGGCATGGGATGTCGGGTCAAGGTGATGTGCCAGCTACCTCCTCCCCAGGGGCAAGAGCCCAGGCTGCTGCCCCACCCCTGTCTACAACCCATTTGCCTGGCTTCAGTGAGTCTGATTCAGGATAGGACAAGGGTTCAAGCTGTTTCCCTTGAGAACAGCAGCCAGATGTGGCCTTTGAAACTACAGGAACCCAGGAGGACATTTACCACCAGAACGCCATTGGTGATGAGAGTCTCAGGTGCAGAGGGACTGAAAAACAAAAGGAGAACTCCTTGTGAGTGCGACAGCGCGACCATGCTCTTTTATATATGTATATATATATATATATATATATATATATATATAACTGAGAGATAGTTTACATGGGAGAACATCGGCTTTACACCATCATTTCATTACAATGATTACAATCTCCTCTGTGCTTCCATTACCTCTGCTTTTCTTTTTTGGGGGGTGGGGCGGGGCGGGGTGGGGAGATGTACACAAAAAACTCAGGAATAATCATTTAAAAACAAAAGGGCACATTCTGCAAGCCTGCCTCTGGCTCCTAGTGCTCAGTCCCTCTCTTTTCATGAGTCTAGAGTCCTCAGCTTCTCGCTCTCTCCAAGAATGTGATTATTCTTGACTGATTTCTCATAAATGTAATAAAGATGATCAATAGAGTCAAGAGTGCAACAGTGGTGTCTACGTCTTTCTTGCTCTTCACGAGCAATATTGGCTTATAGACTTGTGGGTTGTCAAAGAGAAACATGGCATGCATTTTAAACAAATTGCCAGAGAAAATCAATTTATAGGTAAAAGGGGTAGCTATTTCTCTCTTCTGTCCTTCCTTTCTTCTCTCTCTCTCTATCTCTTTCTTTCAGATAACTTTCTTAGAGACACCTGGAAACTGTTCAACCAGGTGCAGCTACATGGATTATAAGGGTAAACAGATTATGAAAGATGGCTGGAGCCCACCAATTAGAGCAGACTATAAGACTTTTGATAACAAAATATGATCCATCCTGCTCTTTATTTAATTTATGCATTTTATAAGCAAGTCTGACTCAACCAGAGAGACACCTGGAAAGGGTTGGAACAAAATGTCCTTATGTTACAAAACCAAGAAAATAAACCTTCAAGGTTATGACTAGCTTCGGGGAGTCCACTGCCTCCCTAATCAAAATCAAGTTCTAGGTGACTGATTCATCTTTCCTTCTCTCTTTGTCCCCTTCTCAACCTCTGACTCTGCAACCCAATTCTCCAATTCCCAGCATGGCCATACCTCCAGGACCCTAATTTGATGTTGGGAAATAATTCCACAGAGGGGACCTGACTTGGTCCAGAGGCACACACAAAGAGGAACAGCCTCAGCTTTAGACCACGGTTTGGGGGTGCTTGTTATAACAGTCCTTGGTCAGTGTGACTACCCCTTGCTCCTGACCTCTTTTCTTAGCTGGGCCTCAACAAGGTCCCCTTCACCATGGTGGCAGGAATTCTTCCCAGATGCCACCTTAGGAGTCCCGGGGAACTCGCCTGAACAGCAGTCCTCCTCCTGGCTGCACATTATAACACCTGGGGAGATTTCATAGCAGTACTGATGACAATAGAACCAGATGGCTAGGCATGTGGCTTGAGCACCATAGTATTTAGAAGTTTACAAGTGATTCTCATGCACAGTGAGGACTCCAGGGTTAGTGCCAGGAGGAGAGAGCGTGGAAGAGGAAAGACAGCAAAAAGGTGGACCCAGCTTGGAAACGCCTCTTCCCAGAAACTATTTGAAGGTCAGGGCCTGGGCAGAGCCTATGAACTTAGGGCCTACTCACCTCTCCTCCAGCAGGAACTCCACCTCCAGCTCCTCCATGCCCTGCCAGGGGGAGGAAGGGAAGGCAGCTGTCAACTGTCTCTGCTCATCTCTGCAGACCAGCACTCCTGCCACTCCAGGGGGCCCTGTGGACCTGGCCCTGCCCTTTCCACCTGGTTACTCTGCTGTCCTGCAGTAAGGGAAGTTGTTCCAGAAGCTTGTTGCTCCCCCTGCGTCTTTCTCGTTCCACATCTTTGTCTCTAACAGCATTGCTGACAACTTAGGGGAGGGTCAGGATGTGGAGCTAAGCCCTAGCTCTCTCTGTGCCAGGGGAATTGTATTTTCATCTTTCACCCTCAGCTTCCACTGTTTCCTACCTTCCCAAGGGGCTCTGTACCTAGGGTAAGGGTGTTGCCTCCAGAAAGCTCAACTCCGAGGGGGTGGTCACCTTCTCGTACTTATTTCTTCACACCTCTTGCTTTGAGTGTCAGGCAAGTCAGGACCTCACTGGACTGGACTTTTCCCAACACAATGTAAGCTACATGAAGGCAGATTTGTTTGTTCCCTGCATCTAAACAGTACCTGGCCCATAGTAAAAAAACAACAACAAGCGAGTTGCTGACAAGTTGGCTCTGATTCATGGTGACCCCATGTGTGTCAGAGTAGATCTGTGCTCCACAGAGTTTTCAATGACTGATTTTTCAGCAGTAGATCACCAGGCCTTTCTTCCAAGGTGCCTCTGTATCAACTTGAACATCAACTTTTGTACCACCCAAGGACTCTGGCTCACAGTAGACATTCAAAATATTTGTTGAAGGAATATGTTTATTCTAGACAACATGCTAGATAACATTCTGGTTCTTTCTACCTCTAACTTTCTTTGATTTGCAGATTAGCCTTTCTGGCACTGTGGGTTAATGTGCTGAACTGTAAATTGGTTTGAACTGAAGTTCAAACTCACCAGCTGCTCTTTGGAAACCCTATACAAGTTCACTATGAGTCAGAAATGACTTGATGGCACTTAACAGCAACCATCCCACAACAACAACACCCTCATCATCCTCTGTCTGGGATAGTACCAACAACTGGACTCTGAGGGGAGAAAAAAGGGAAACAGATCAACATGTTCTATGTCTCCATTTTATCCATGAACGGTATTGTTGTTAAGTGCCGTCGAGTCAGTTCTGACTCATAGCGATGCTTTACCCTTTATAGGGTTTCCAAGGAGTGGCTGGTGGGTTTAAACCACCAACCTTGTGGTTAGCAGTCCAGGGCTTATCCTACAGCACCATACTAGGAATACATAAATGGTACCAGGCTCCTTAATTACGTTTTCTCACTTTGTCCTGACAACTACTCTGTATAGTTGTACAGATGATAAAAAAAACCTCAAAGGAGTTATTAAGTAATGTTTACAAGCTCAGACAGCTAGTAAGCAATGCGCTGGAATTTGAACCAGCTGCACTATCTTTTAGCGACTTAGCTGTGCACACAGAGAGGAGCCTGCTGAACGGCTTTGGAGGAATTCACCAACTGTTCCCCCGGACCTGCTGAGGACCTGAGCACCAGCACCCACCTCTGGGTTGAGCGGGAACTTCACGTGGGTTTTCTCTCGGAAGCAGAGCTTAGTGAGGTCGTAAAGAACTGTCAAGAGATGGTCATCTGGTGTCACTGTGTCTTCATCGCAGACACTCAGTTCTAAAACATTCTGGGGGGAAAGGGAGAGTGCAGATCTTGTGAGCATAGTTGTATTGGTCCATTCCTGGGACAAGAAGCCTGACCTTAGCCCTAGTGAGGAAGCAGGTTTATGGGCTGGGCAACTGGGACAGAGGCACCTGCTCAGGGGTGAGATATATTTATGGAAAAATGAGTTAAGGGAGGGAAGTGTCATTTTCCTCCTTTCCCACTGTTTGAAGCCTTTCTCCCCTTCTGCTCTTACTTTCCTACAGGTTAACTGTGCCCTTTAACAAGCTAGGCTAAGCCTGTGAAGTGTGGGAGGATTTCATTTCACCTGAGAGAAGGAAGGAAAAGGCAGGGCAGGTAAGGCTCCTGCCAAGATACAGAATGTGTCCATCACTGGGGCTCTGAAGCTGAAGAATGCCTGTTTAGTGCTGGAAAACTCAGGTTGGGGAAATCAAAGTGTTAACACTGTAGGGCAATGATGTGGCAGAGAACAGAAGGGTTCTGATCCTTGGTAGGACTTGGGGTAAGGTGTTTGAATGCGATCCTAAAAGCAGAATGTCAAGAGTTTATGAGGTCAGTGGTCTCAGCTTGTTCCAAGGATCCTGGGGGTTATGGATTGGGGCTAGGTTTTCCTCCTTAGCTTCCTAGTTAATGTTCTGGGAGATACTGGAAGCACATTCTGATCAAGGGACACCCAGTTTCAGCAACAATTTAGATGGAAGAACAAGAGAGACAGGAAGGAAGGTAGACAATAAATATACAGAGAGAGTCAAACATGAGACAGACAAAAGGAGGTAGTGGGAGTGGGAGGATAGGTAGGTTCGCAGAAGGATCAGAAGTAGATAGATATAATGACAAAGAGGCATGAGAAGGACAGATAAGCAAAGAAGATGGCAAACACACAAGGAAGGGAATCGAAATGTAGGTGGGACAGACAAGGGCAGTTTTCTACATCTTACCTTCACTTGGCTTTGGATCTGAAATTTGAAGGTTTCATTCCATTCTGGGTTTGGACAGTTGGAGATGGTCTTAGTCCTCAGCTTCTCATGAGAGGCGGTAGGTAGCCAGAGGCTCACAAAGCAGTCTGTCTGACTCACTGTCCAAGAAATACAAGGTGGGAAGGGAAAGTTGAGGACCGAATCCAGGTCCAGAGAGGAGAGAGTATGGTGTCAGATGGGAATTTCAGATAAGTCACTTCCAGAGCAAAGGCCAAGTTCATCTCCAGGTCCTCTCCCAACTCATGGGTCAGAGACTTTTGTCCCAGAGTCCTGAGAAAGTCTGGGCTGAGGGTTATAGGTTTTACAAAGGAGCATCCAGATTCCATTGAACATTCTTAAGGTCACAGATGGCCTCTGGCTCTTATTAAAAGCGCGCCAGTTCTCTGAGCAAACATCTGGTGATTTTGAAGAAGGTATGGACACACAGTTTCCCCTCCGACACTATCCATTAGGGGGACTAGCTCAGGGTGCCAGGGAAACCATAGTAGGGCCTAGTTCTTTCTCTGAGCTGAGGAGAAAAGGGGATTAAGAAGGGAATACAGTCTTCTGTGAGCTGACTGAGAAGGGACCAGTGGGAAAGAACTTGGGGGTTTGGGTGGGGACAAGCTATTCATCAGGATCGAGAAGCATTATCTATACTGTTTATGACTTAATGCCTCAAATGGACTGACCAGACTCTTCATATGTATTCTGGTGTCCTAGCAAGAACTTTGTGGGTAAAAAACACATTGGTGACCAAGTTTTTTTTGTGTTTTTTTTAAAATTCTAAATGAACAATCCAAATGTGTTGTTGCTCGATACATTCAGAAGGATAAACAAGGACTTTGGCCCCCAAAGAATCTACTAATGTGGACAAAGTTCTTCTAGCTCTTCAAAAGGAGGCAGCAGAGGATGGGGTGAAAAAGAGTAGCCCGACTTGACTCCCAATTCCATTCTACCTGGAGGAGGGAGGGAGAGGTACTATAACTGCTTGGCCACACGGGAGAATAGAAGGCAGGGGAAGGTCTGAGGTGTTGTTCTTGAGTCATGGGCACCACAGGTCATGACCATTTATTTAATTCAGACAAAAGAATGACCCAAACCCAGCAGAATCAAAAGAAGAGAGTAATAGCTAGGCTATCAAGCGGCAGAAGAGGATACTGGAACATAGAGAGATGGACGTGCTGAAGAGAGATAGAAAAAGGATAGCGTCATGACTAGCGTAAATCTCAGCCATGTTCTATCCATTCTCTGGGTAGGAAAAGTGAGGCTTGTTACCCTCCCTGAGATTGAGCCCTCCTTCTATCCCTTGGCCTGGGAATGTCAAATCCAGGTCCAGCCTTTCTAAGATTCTAACTGACCCTTATACTCCCCACCCTTTGCAATCTGCTGGGGTAATTCCCATGATATATACTGGTGCTGTTGTTGCTAAATGCCATCAAGTCCATTCCGACTCCTAGAGACCCTGTATAGGGTTCCCAAGGAGTGCCTGGTGGGTTTGAATAACCAACTTTGTGGTTAGCAGTCTAATGTTTATCCTACAGCGCCACACCAGTAGAAGTAGAAAATGGTAAACATCAGTACAATTTCCAGTCTCTGAACGTCTTCTAGATAGTAAAGCTGGTATGAGGATGGAAGTTTTGCAGTAGTAGGACTGATTCAAACTAGCTCATAATTATTACTAATAATACTCACTAGTTGTGGCGCTGTGATAGAAATGATGCTGGAGAATGCATGATAGAATTCTGCAAAACCAATGAGTTGTTCATTTCAAATGCCTTCTTTAGACAGCATAACAGA